TTTAAGTAGAAATGTATTTAAATGTGTGTCTATGTGTGAATGCAAGTTTTCATGTTAGACAACACCAGCACAGAAAAAAAGCACAAAAAAGCAGAATTTAAACAAAAAATGAAGTGCATGCTTTTCATTGCCAAACTATAGAAGTCCACATACAGAGTACATACATACATACATAGCACACACACCTATGTATTTGTGTATATGCGTGTGAATGCATTCAAACACATACAGAAATAGGTAAAAATATATGTACATACATTCATAAATACATAAATAGCATAATTCTTTAAATCCTTTTTTAAAAGCTTCCTTGTATCTCTTTTTTCCTCAAATAGAACAGTTCAAGTCACACGAATGGACACTAGAGCTGCGGCTCTGAAAGTACTTATTTAACTCGGATCCCGCTGATGGTAGTAGAGGAGGAGGAAGGCTTCCTCTGTCTGCTGTGTTTGTTGCTCATGAGGTGCATCCTTGTTTGTGCGCTGGGCTTGGGACCCTTGATGTCCTCGAGAAGGCTTAAGCTGAAGTCACCGCCAGCCAAGAAATCCGATGTACGGCGCAAGGCAAAAAAAAAAAACACCTGGGAACCTTGCGACGTCTACTATAATTGAATTTGCGGCCGAACAGAGTCTTTGTCGCCGACTACTATCGTTCATCACGCCCCGACGGAAGATAAATACGAGGCGGCCAACAATCACTTCTATGAGCGTTAGAGGACACCCACGAGCATCGTCGAAAAATTCTGCCTTCGCGACGAAAAGTTGGATAAGGGACAACAACCGCTTCCCAAACTGTAAGAGTCTTTGACCTATGATCAGGGCTGCCAGAATGGTGTACTTTTAATAACATCAAATAAAGCAACACACATTTCCCCGAGACCTATTTATTGATTGCTTCATTACTTTTCTTGTCTTATTACTTTTCTGACTAAATCTTTTAAATAAGCAGTGTGTTCTTAGTTTATGTAATAAAACTTTTCAAGCAGATTGTCGACCCTACCGAGTAACAGTCAAATGTTTGAAGCGATGGTTTAACAGCTCTATTCGAGTGGTGTCACAGTCGTCAATTGGCACAGTTCAATTGTCATTATCGTGTCATCAACTGTAGTCATACGTATGCACAGTCAATAATGACAAGCAAAAAACTCGTTTTATTCGCCAGTTGCGGCGAAAGTTTCTCTGTAGTGAAACAGCTGTTCTTTGTTTACATTTTAATTGTTCTTTGTGACCGCCACTGCAACAAACTGGATTCCTTTCAAATAAAATACCTCGCAATGGATAACAAAACGCTGGAAAAGTGAGTAATTTTATACTTAGAAAATTAATTTAATATTATTATGAATTCGTGTATTAACAGACGTGCAAAATATAAACGCACCACACAAGAGTAGCTGCAATACTATGCGCAGTTTTGTAAAAACCACCCCGAACTGCAAACGGGTAAAAACTTTCCAAAAAACTGTTGTCTCGGAGTTTCCTCAGAAGTCTACTTCTCTGTATAATTTCTTCTTGCTCTACAATAATAGCCGCGCACGCAATAATTATTTCCAAATCTAATGGCCCTAGAAAAAAATGGTAATAGGTTCAGAAAAATTTCCGGAATTAAATATCCAAAAAGTACCATCGAACTTGGCCGGAGTATTATTTAACTTATTGAACAATTAAACAATTTTGTATATTTAATGATGAGTATTTATCCCGCATGATGAGCGTGTCCCCAGCCATAGCCGTAAACGTCTTCAAACCCGGATGGAATTGCGAATAAAAATCGGAAGTTTCATCTGTGTACCGATTCCATTTCTGTATATTTTTTTCGGACTACCATTTATACTAACATTTGATTATTTAGGGCTGTTCAGAATGTTGTGCAAGCGGTACGTTAAAGATAATACTTATGTAGATACACATGAGGAAATCTCACGAGTTGTTACATTTTTTCACAAAAACGTGTTTTTGGTCCAAAATGGTTTTTCAACTAACTTAGAAATGCATTATCTTCAGTTTTGTATATAGAACAAGATTCCATCGCGAAATTGTATTTAAATTAAAACTTAAAAAAGGTGTACTAAACAAAAAATTAAATAACCACTCATGCTCATATAGCCGTAGTTGCGTACGTAACGTATACGCCCCTTAGACCATACGCCCTCATCCTAACGTCTTAACTTAAAATACATATTATTTAAAAGTAATTAAATAGTGGCGTGGGAGATCTCTACGCAGTATTCCTTATGCACATATATGTGGCGTTTATTTTGAAAATGACACAAGTCACTTCGTAATTGTTGTGCTTAAAAGACCGGCTACTTCTAATCGAATGCATCTGTAAGCCGCTCTATCGTAACAAACTAACGATAAAACCGTCTACCTTTGGTTGATGAAGTTGAAGGAATAACCGACGCGTTCAGATACCAGTAACCGGTCATTTAAGCACAAGAGGTTCGAAGAGACTTATGCCACTTTCAAAATAAATGGGTAACATATTTCTTTCTTCATGTATATAAAAATTTTAGATTGAATTTCGAGTTTGCCAATAAAAATTAAAAAAAAAAATTAATTTATTTTCTTAAATCATAGTCATCTTTTGCTACAATGTAATTTTTTTCATTTGGTGAGACACTAGCCTTATTACAGATTCGTTTGTTTTGGCAAGAAGAACATTTGCATCTATTAGTTTTAACATTAAAAAAAATTCGTAAAACTTCAAAAAATACAAAATAGCTGCGACAAATGTTCTGCGTGCTGCCATTTTTTTTTTTAATTTCGTGGTGTACTTTTGAAACTTCACAGATATGTTGTGTTCGGTGCCAACATCCTTTGCCTCTAATATGAAAATTCTATTTGAAAACTTCCCAAAATTATTACAAAAAAAAAAAATATGATTTTTCGAGTGACAGTAAAAACTTTAGTAATTTCGCTACTTTTTCACCCAACTAAACGTTTTAAAGCAAAAATTATTCAAATATGTACTTGATTTATTTTTTGATTGAAATAAAAGCAAGAAGAATACTTTGGCGTTTTTTTCTGCCGAAAGAAGTTAGTGACACTAAAAACACAACTCCTGAAATGTACTCATATGTATGTATGTACGTACCACCTGGCTGTACCCAACAAATACTGGAACAACAATTTTCAAACGTTTGAGAAAATTTTAGTTCTCAGTTTGATTTTCAGCATTGTTTATCATTTGAAACTAACATTTTTCTCAAGCATTGTTTATCAACTTAAGAACGGTTTGAGAAAAAATTGTTTAGCATTGCGTTCCGTTCCATGGCATTAAATAATATTTTTATGATAAAACAAGTTATTTATGTTATATTAAAAGATTTATTAAGAATGACAAAGGAGCTTACGCTCTATTGAAAATGTCATAAATCTAAATAAAACAATCGTTTAAAACTTTTTGGGGAAAAATCGCAATAAATCCCAAAATTTGATAAAAAGTTTTAATTTTTTCCCCTAAATGCATTTTTTAAGAATTCAATGGAGCATAAAGACTTTAATTATATATGTATACTCAAAAATTAAATATTTTTATTTTGCAAAAACTTACTTCACAAACAGTGTTTATGTAACTAATTGTAAAACAAACGATGCACCTAATTTTTTACATAAACCATACTTTTCTTTGTTAAACTAACTGTTCCGATCCACTCACGCTTGAGAAAAAGTTGAGAATTCAACAATTCTCAATTTGAAACTAAATAAAAATTTCATATTAAAAATGTGCATTTTACTTTGAGAACGCTATCGAGAATTGAGAAATACCAAATTCATAACAAACCAAAATTAGTATAAAAACTGTAAATGTTTACTCAATCAACGACGGAATGCAATTTATAGAATGCAACATGCATTCCTTTGCAAATCACAAAAATAAGTATGTATGTTTGTACATACCGCCGGTAGGGCTACATTGTACATATATATCTTCGTACAAACGAGCAACATTGAAATTGAGGCAGAAAATAGCGGCCACAATATTAAATGAATGTAGTATAAGGGAAATTCCCTTTCAGCTTTTACTAATTTAGCCTACCTTCCTTAATACGGCCCCTCCAGCTAAGCCACATACATATGTACATACATACATACATACCGTGCAGAAAATCTTATCAATTGATAAAAAATAACCCACTTTTAGTGACCTTTTTTTGTAGTTAACCACAAGAAGCTAACTTTCAACTCGTTGAAAAGAAATGCAGGGGTAATGCAGACGCAATCAGGAGATTGATTTCTTTAAACAAGTTTCTATTTAAATATTCCCATACAAATTTTACTTTGAATACACTTTCCTTCTGCACTTAACAAATTCTATTTTCGAATTGAGGACAAATAAAAGGAAGAACGAATAAGGGACCACCTACAGCAGAATATGTAAACAATAATGAAATGTAATAAAATATCCAAAAGTAGTTAGTTACAAGTTAGGTCACATCTAATGGAGAGGTAAACACCCTTCACAATTTCGCGGCCATCGCCATAGAAATATAGTTAGCTTTCCTCAAATAAAATATATAATAATGACTTTAGTTGCTTCCTAAAGAGCGAAATACACCACACAAGCGGTTTGACAAACCAAGCGAAATTTCCCTTTGCTTCAAGCCATTTGTGCTGTGTATGGGGGTGTTTGAAGGTTTGACAAACCGCCGTCAAACCTTCAAACACCCCCATACACAGCACAAATGGCTTGAAGCAAAGGGAAATTTCGCTTGGTTTGTCAAACCGCTTGTGTGGTGTATTTCGCTCTTTATCAACTTCAAGTTAACTTATAGTAAAGAGCGAAATACACCACACAAGCGGTTTGACAAACCAAGCGAAATTTCCCTTTGCTTCAAGCCATTTGTGCTGTGTATGGGGGTGTTTGAAGGTTTGACAAACCGCCGTCAAACCTTCAAACATACATACATTTCCCGCAGGGTATGTAAATATGTATGTGTATTATGTATTGAATCGCTTACGTAGTTGTTGTATGCCGTTTGGTTTTAAACTTTGACTCACCTAAGTGTTTTTTTTTTTGTTTTCTTTATTATTCCGAGTACGATTGTTATTTCTTTTCTCAGCTGCTGAAGTGAATTCTACAATGTTTTTATTGTTTTGTTTGGCTTTATTGTTGTTGCCTGCGCTTTTCGTATTCTCAATTCGTTATTTGGTTGCTGTTGCCTGTGCTGTTGTCGTTGCTGTTGTGCTATTGGTGCTGCTGCTGCTGCTGCTGCTTCTAGTTACGACCGCTGCCACTACTAAGAAACCTGTTTTTCACAATTCTTCTTCTATACACTTTTCGCGTACACTTACATACATGAGCAGAGATACTCGTACACACATATTTAATACACAAATACATATGAAAATATCATCATAAACACACACACAGGCACGCGCGCGCGGGCGAACACACAAATTTCGCACTTTTTCCTTCTTCACCTTCTGCTAGTTTTTCTATCAATTCGACTGCTTTAAATTTTCCAGATTACTACTACATACATATGTACATACATACATAGAAATATTGAAAGAATTGACTTTATTGCGTTACTTTTCCGTTTTCCGTTTTGTAGTTGTAATAATTTTCGCGTTATGTTGGCCGAACCCGAAACACCACCATGCAAATATCTTTGATTTTCTTATTCACTTAGCCTTTTGCTAGATACGAGTGGCTACCGTGTATTTTCTTCACACTCCCATACATACACATACATATGTACATCTATACAGATCTGCTAAGCTTCAATATGAACGATATATGGATGTGTGCAAGTAAGCACTGTTGCTTTAAGACTGGTTTGATGGAACTTTAATTCATTCTTAAAATTTGTTATTAATACAAACAAACAAGAAATTTTTCAACACTCATTTAAATGTGAAGGAACAAATAGTGACTTCAGTCGTGGATGCCACGTTCCCCCCGTATTACTAACAAACACCAACATTCGACCGTTCCACGTCGAGTCTATCCGATGACTACTGGTATCCAACTCAAACAGACTGACTACTGCTCCAACACACGCTTTGTAAAGCCCAAATAAAATTTTGTTTTCAATTTCTCTTCCAAGCCTGCGCGCTCGTTGACTTACTCTCTCGGTATTGTTAACATACGCCAAGGTGGTTGCGAAGAACGAACGGCAAAGCACAAAAAACCGTAAACAACATTTGGCCAAGAGTAGCTTATTCTCTGTTTCTTCTTATTGCTGCCTATAAACAAATATGTATAGCATGGGATTTGATTATACGCGAGTGTATAAGTCGATAAGTTTATTTTTCTTTTTTTTCATATTAAAATGTTATCTCTGTGAAATGACTAACTACGCTTAAAAATTAGTTGCATGGCATATTTTTATACTGAGACAAAACGGCAAACATACATACGTACGTACATATGTATGTATTTGTTTTTGGTAAGAGCTTAATTTTCAAGTGGCTACAGCACCAGTTGCACCACTACGCATTTGTACAAACACAAATCATGGCTTCGACCGGTAACAGATGATTAGCAGTCGACGTTCGTTTATTTCATTTCCGATTGTGAGCATTTCGCTTTGCGGTAAACTCGTCAATCAGCAGGGTTGCATTTGTGAACATTTATTTAACAAACTAATGCACTGTCTTTATCTAATTTCGGGTAGCATAATTTCGCGGGATCAAAGAACTTAATGCGCAAACAGTCAACGACGTAGCGTAGACGTTGGTTGACGCAGACACGACCTATCTTATCGGATTCGCGTGTTAACGAAAACTCACCACCGCATGGCGGTGACGTTGCCGTTGCTTCTCTCTCTCTCTATCAACAGTAAATTTAATATGCTGCTACGTACGTCAACCTACGTTTACGCTACGTCGTTGACTAACAGAGCTTTTACACGTTACTAACGGACCTAGGCATCGAACTCTGATAGGTGACAATCGGTCAATATGGAGTAGAGCAGGTGCCCCTAAAAACTCGCAACATTTAGTTACATTTCACCCATACGGCCAGATTTATGGGCTGTTTTTGCTTACGCGTAAAAGCACATTTAGCGCATTTAGCTCTAAATGCTACTCTAAATGTACATTTATCCATACAAAATTCGTCACGTAAATGCAACTAAATGCAACTCCATTTTTGCATTTAGAATCTAAATGCTAAAAGCAACCCTGTGATCTTCCAAAATTTCCACGATTCGAACATGGTTTAATGAGAAGAAGTGGCAACATTGCTTTTTCGAGTATACAGTCGCTAGCTGCGTTTCAGTGATCGCCGATCGAGATTTCATTTATTATTTTACATTATTTGGATAAAGAAAAGTTACGCAAATTAAACATCGATATGATGCTGATAGAAATCTGGATTAATTTGTGATCAACTCTGTTTGTTTTGTTTCCTAATTAAGTGTGGAAATTATAATTGACAGCACCGACAAATGAATATATACACAAACAAATGTTTGGTTATGGTTAAAACAATTCAAGTTTTTGTATTGAATTTTCGGTTTAGAATTTATTTTTTCCTTTTCAGTAGGGATTTTTGGACATTATCTTTTCCGTGAGAATTTATCGTAAAAGATACGGATCTGAATAAGCGACTGGAACACGGCTGTTTGTCAAAAGCATACGATTTCGAACTCGCGTAAATGTACATTTGCTAAATGCGATAGCATGAACGCTCTTCGAAAACATATGTTCGAAAGTGCTAAATGTTGCATTTTAAATGCAGCAAAAACGCTGCATTAGCTGATTACACATTGCATGCGTTATTCTTCCATGCTGTATACTTTAAGGCACCACTGCTTTTCATTTAGAGAATTTTAGCGAAAAAATTTTGCGTAGCGATTGTCAATAGTCTACTACTGGATTCGTTGAGTGCTTAACCGCAGAGGATAGCCGATAAATCAGTTAAGTATGCGCTAGGGCAGGCCCAGAACGAGGGCGTCCACACCACCGCGTGGAAGGTAATCTCCTGCATCGGTGAGGAAACGGGCTCAAACCTAATCTGGGTATTGCTGAATAGTCTTACATTTTCTTCAAGTTAAAAGGCTTTAGTGTTAACTACATGTATAGCTTCGTCACGGTGAGGCCGTGGTGGCAGAAGACCACAGACAGCAAGGAGTCAGAGTCGCAAGACGTGCAAGTCGATGTGGCAGCTGACTCCACAGCTCTCCAAGCGACTCAGTCGACCACGGTCTCATCCAACAACTAGCCACCAGATCAAGACCAGTACTAGGTCCTGCTTGCGCTCACGGTCCAGGCCCCACGCACGTAGCGCGCAGGAGTTCCTAGCCGACATAGGAAGCTTGGAACTCGACAGGAGAAGCGAGGATGATGTGCGGCTCTCGGACCTTTACGAGCCCATCCTATGAGCACACCGCACTTGGCAATAGCCCAGGCCAACATGCATTATGCGGTGCCTGTTTCGGCGGTTATTCGGAGCAGCTTTTCCACGGATGACCTGGGAAGCCCAGTGGGGAGCGCTAGTGACATTAACACCAAGGAACACATGAGATACGTACACTTCGCCTCACTTCTTTGAAAAATTACACGTATTCGGGCCCCACACTGAAGCTTTCGGTGCCCCTGGGAACCTTTCCCAGCGGATGTATATGCCATCAGTCTGTATGCTGAGATTTACCTTCGAAGAAAGTAACGGATTCCTCGGTGGTTCTGGAGAGTGAAGAAAGGCTTAATTCTCTGGCTGAGAATAATACCATCCAATTGATATGGGTGAGTAGAGGGTATATGAGGAGGTGGACCATCTACTCAGACTGGTTGCTGCCTCGATCCCCATAGGACCGGAGCCCTTTCTTTCAATAACACGATAATGGAAGCGCTCAGGAAGAAAAACACCAGGCTAAGGAACTGCATTGGCGTAATACAATGGGACTTCGTTAATCCAAAAGTTTACTAGGAGGGCACAATCTAAAAAGATACAGGATACTCATAGGTTTCCCTATGGAGAAACTAAGGATCAGTACAGGTGTATTTGACGGACAACTGCAGGCTAAGAGATCTATTCTGCGCTGGTAATAGAAAGTTTGTAACCGGTAAATAAAATTCCTGTCCTGGTTTTTAAACCCTTTTCACATTCTGTGTACTCTTGTAACCGGTAAATTTTGTTACCATCTCAAAAGCTGGTAATAAAGTATTGCTCCGTGAAATATGCAATGCCAGAATTTGCATAATTCTTCATAGCTGAATTGCTGAATATTTTCACTGCAACGTACCTAGAATCGCGGTGACAAGAACTGGTAACATTTTAATAGGGCACTTGTATAATTTAGGAATCTGGTCTGCGACGTTGCTAAGGAGACTCCATTACACCTCCTTCTGCAGTGTGAGGCCATCTCACGTAGAAGTGAGGGGAGCATAGGGCATTTATGGCCAAAACAGGATCACATACACACTCTACCCCAGGGATCAAGTCTGAAATTTCTGGAGTCTGTAGGGCTGGGTGAAGTGCTGTGATGGGCTGAGGTCACAATAGAACTACTGGTCGCGATGCTTTATTCTACTGTCTATCTATATATTTACTTGGCTATCTATTACCTTTTCTATGTAAAGCATTTAATACAAATGACGTTAAGCAGATCGGCCTGAAGGATTTTGGTTGAAGGGGGTCCTTGTTTCCGTCCTTCAGGATTAAAACTATGTTCGCTCGTCTCCACGCATTTTGTATAATTTTAAACAGCGGTCTAACGACGAAATCTAAGCCCTGCTGGAGCATGCCAGGGAATATTCCATCCGCTCCCGGTGGATGTAGTGATTTAAATGTCTTCACCTCCTACCTGGGGCTGGGATCAGAGCATAGCCAGTTTTCTTTGCTCATTTTCCTACTATGTTCAGCCCGACTATGTTGTAACCTCCGTCGTACGTTCATGCTTTCACAGCTTAAACGCGTGGATTTCCTTATCTCTGTGTTGTACAAAGTGTTTCTGTAATCTGGCCATTCCCCGGTTTGACAATTTCCCAGTTGACCAATTTTCGAACTTTGGTTCTGAGGGGTAGATCCCTGGAGGAACGTACCTTACTTATAGGACAAGTGTTTTCGTATGCATCCATGAGTAATTCATTAAAGTGCTCTGCAGCGTATTCTAGTTCTGTTTTTTCAGCTTATCATTAAACTTCACCGAGCATGTTTTCCTCGGATTCCTTAAAACTCTTTGTATAGAAGGGGTTGCTACAATTCAAACCTAATTTATTTTATGATCAGACATGGAAGGTTCTATCTTCAATCTCTTACTAGCACTTTCGTTTGAGTTTTTTGTATGTTAATGTCATGGAACTCTTCCCTCGCGCGGGTAACAAAAGTTGGTATATTCTCAATATTAAAGATCTCTAATTTATTACTAACGATAAACTCCAGGCCTTGCTATGCGCATTTTGCTGCGAAAATGCGAAATCGAAAGTCCACTTTCCCGTGTAAGCAGCCAGAAAGGCCTTTTGCAGATGTGAAGAAATAACTTTCGGAAATAAAAATTGTAAATTGTAAAGGTGCGGTTAAACGTGGCATGCTTGCATTTACCTACTCGTTTGGCTGCCAAAATGCCAAATCTAAAGTCAACTTTCCCGCGTAAACCGCAAAAAAGTCCTATTTGCACTTTCGGAAATAAAAATTTCAAGGTGTGTTTGCAACTGAAATTAGCTGTGCTAGTAATTTTAATTTTAATTGGCAAGTTTTATTTTCAGAAATAAAAACTGCTTTTGAAAGTCACTTTACATGCAAAGTGTAAGGTGTACCTGCGCCTGAAATTTCTTTTTGAAATTCTTGAGTTTGGCAGACTTTTAAAAGAACTTGCGTTACTTTACACCTTGTAAGTTTTATTTCCGAAAGTGGTTTCTGCAAATCTGCAGAATTACTTTTTAGATGTTTATACGGGAAAGTAGTCTTTCAAGTGTTTGCATTGCTGCGTCTTTATGCAGCGTTTTTGCTGCATTTAAAATGCAACATTTAGCACTTTCGAACATATGTTTTCGAAGAGCGTTCATGCTATCGCATTTAGCAAATG